CCGAACCCCCCCCCCTAATGTTTGGCTGTGGGTTTTTGCATCTGTTTCCATCAGAAACTGGGTGAAGCCTCTTTGATAACAATTGAGCTAGACAACAATCTATGAGTGTAGTGTATAGTAGAATAGCCTTAGGAATCATTTCATTGACATTGTTTTGTTTTTATTGCCAGTCATGTTTGATTCTCTCCCAGGTCTCTGGGCTGTCCAGCCTCTGGGTCCTGTCCCTCCAGGCAGTGTCAGGGGTGGGCTCTGTCTCATGGTATGAGTCTCAAGCTGGACCAGTCATTAGTTGGCTACTCCCATAATTTCTGCACCACTCTTACCCCAGCACATCTTGTAGGAGGGTAAATTGTAGGTCAGAGGTTATGTGGCTGTGTCGCAGTCCCAGTACCACCCATGGAAGTTTTGCCTGGTTACATGAGACGGCCGGTTCATGCTTCATATCCCCCATTACTCGGAGTCTTAGCTAAGCTCTCCCTCATAGATTCCTGAAAGTTTCCATTGCACTAGGTTTCTGCTTCATCCCAAAGATGCTCCCTGACTATGCTCATAGCAACTTTATTTATGATAACCAGAGACCAGAAACAACCTAGATGTCTATCAACCAAAAATAGATAAAGAAAATGTGGTACATTTACACAATGGAGTATTACTCAGCTATTAAAAACAATGACATCATGAGGTTTTCAGGCAAATGGATGGAACAAGAAAAGATCATCCTATGTAAGGTAACCCAGTATGGTATGTGGTAACTCATAAGTAGATATTAGTTATAAAGTAAAAAAAACAATGCTAAAATTCACAGGCCCAAGAAGCTAAGTAACAAGGAGGGCTCAAGTTGGGAGGGTGCACATGAATTTCACTGCGAAGGGGAAATAAAATAGACATCATAGGTAAATTGGGGGAGGGGTCTAGATGGGAGAGGGCACGGGAACAGGAAGATCAGGTAGGGAGAATATGGAGGAAGGGAGTATTGGGAGCTTTTAAATTTTCTATCTGGATAGTCTTTGGATTATGGGACTTTGGGAAAGAGCTACTTGTGCTGGTTTCTAGCTTGAACACTTGTGTGAAGGAAGTGAAATGAAACAAAAGACAGACAAAGCTCAGTATCTAATCACCACTAATTTATTGTCGATATCAATGCAATCTAGTTATTTGAATCCAAAGACTTAAAGCAAATACATTACAGTCAAACAAAGAATCCTATGACAATGGTAAGCTTCCTTCCCATCTGGCTACTGATGATATCTCTTCACAGGGGGAGAGTACACTACTTATATTTCCATACTGTAATATGTCGAAAGAAACAGAAACAATTTCTACAAATGGAAATGAAGCTCTTTCTTGCTGAAATCAAGTTAAAACCCATGCTTGGATCCTTTGGTCCTGTACCACTTTTCCAATGGCTATAGAGAAGCATCCGAAGCAAAAACTTAATCGCACTTATTCACCTACTGATTTAAAATGTACCAAAGAAGTATCTTGGTGATTTGGGTAAAAATAGAAACCACTAATACTCTATCCTGTTTTGTCCTCTTTCTCTTACCATCTAATATTAAAAATTAAACTGTGTGTTGACATAAGATAAAGCTTTGGCAACTGCAATGATAATACATTTATTATATATAGTTCTTTACAAATAAATGTATAATTTATTACAACTTTAGCATCACCTCCAACTAAATATAATTTTCAGATAGATACCTTAACCAAACCCCATATTCTTTAAATTGTTCTTCCAAACTTAATCCCACTAAGCCCCAAGCTTTTTAAGTTAGTCTTCAAACTTATTCCCCAAACTAAGCATTTATCCAGTGCAATATCCTAAGTATCCCAAATATCATGCATTATTTGGGAGGAACTCAGTAACAAGGAATATAGGCTACCTTTCATTTAAAAGAAAAGAATGAGAGCAGATATGTCCAGATTGAGAAAGAAATGACATGAAGAGTTCTGCAACAATTCTCATTTCTTAAATTAACATTTAAGTTAATGGTAGCTCATTTCCTTCCTCACTCTGAGAATTAGCGTCTCTGCTCTTGTACATACTCATAAAGGGGAGTGCTGCTATTGAAGCTGTGAGAACTCAAGCCTATATTTCTCATTCCAGAGTTTCCTTCCCTGATGCTCTGATAGTCAGGGTCACCTTGTCTATTGTCTGCATTGTAAAGTGACGATTGTCCAGTAGTATGGGATCTACTGTGTCCACGTGGAGGTGTAAATTGTCCAAAGTCACAAGCTGAGGTTTCTACTTGCCTATACACACTTATTGGTTGGTTTTCATTACAAATTGAGGGGTTTCCACATTCTAAGTGGTTTCCACATCTCCCATATGATTGAGGTTGCTCATAACTAGAATATTGGCCATATCCAGAACCACATGATCCAGAGCTAAATGAGTTACGTGAATCAGACCTGTATTGTTGTGAACTAGGACACAGACCAGATCTGGGACAATTTTGAGTAGAGATAGAAGAGGGATATGAACAAGACCCATATTGTTCAGAGCTAAAACCCTGATTACACCCAGCTGCAGGTATTCTCTGGCTAGAATAATGACTCGAGGGACATTCATATTGACCATAGTTAGAGGACTGACTTGAACCAGACCCTTGTTGACCACAGCAGGAAGATTGGTTTGAATTAGATCTGTACTGACCATGAGAATATGACTGTCCATAGCTAGAAGATTGATTTATATTAGATCCATAGTGGGGGTAAGTAGACTGACATGAACTAGATATTTGGTCACCATAGCCAGAACAATTAACTGAGCCAGATCCATACTGGCCATAGTTAAAAGAATCTCCACAGGTATTCCCCTGACTACTACTGGACGAAGAATGATATGATCCAGGCCTTTGGTTGTCATAGCTAGAGGACTGCCAGGAAGTAGAAAAATGCTGATCACAGTTAGGTGACTGACTGGAGCTACAACTGGAAGGCCTGGAAAATGGTACTTGTCTGGATGTTGAACAACTTTGCCCATTGCTAGACGAAGCAAAAGTGCTAGATTCATGCTGACCACAGACACATGACTGTCCAGACGAGGAATGTTGTTGCCCACTAAGAGAAGAGTGACCATGCCCAGAGCCATGCTGATTAAAGCCAGAAGACTCTCCTGAGCCAGACCCAAATTGTTGGGAGCCACAAGACTCCCTTGAGCTAGACCTGTTCCTTTCTTGGCTCGATGAATGACGTTGAGTTGATCCATGCTTGCCAGAGAGAGTGGACTGACCTGAGCCATAGCTTGATGACTGACTTGATGTTGTGCCACGCTGTGTCCTACCAGAAGAGTGACCTTGTCCAGATCCTTGCCTACCAGAGCCAGAAGAGTTTCCCGATGCAGAACCATATTTTCCTGAACCACAAGACTGTCCTGACCTAGATCCACTTGGACTCTGGCTAGAAGACTGACTTGCCCCTGAGTTGTGTGTACCATAGCTGGATGACTGACCATAACCAGAACCCTGTTGTCCATGTCCAGAGAAGGAACCCTGTTGGCTACCACCAGAAGACTGACCTTGCCCAGATCCATGTTGACTAAAGCCAGAAGACCCTCCTGAGCCAGACCCATAGTTCTGGGAGCTGTAAGACTCCCTTGAGCTTGACCTGCTTCTGCTGTTTCTGGAAGACTGGCTCACTCCTGATCCATGCTTGCCGTGGGTAGTGGACTGACCTGAGCTGCCGCTGGATGAATGTCCTGAAGAAGTACCACATTGTCCAGTACCAGATGACTGTCCTTGTCCATATCCTTGCCCCGCGGAGCTAGAAGAATGTCCCGATGTAGAACCATATCCACCTAAATGTGAAGACTGTCCTGACCCAGAGCCACTTCTGCTCTGTCTAGAAGAATGACTTGAACCTGCCTTGTGTGTCCCACTGCTGGAAGACTGACCAGAGCCAGTGCCATGCTGACCATAGCTAGTGGAATGACCACAGGAAGAGCTGTGCTGATGACTACCTCCTGACTGTCCAGAGAAGGAACCCTGTTGGCTACCACCAGAAGACTGACCTTGCCCAGATGCATGTTGATTAAAGCCAGAAGACCCTCCTGAGCCAGACCCAGATTGTTGGGAGCCACAAGACTCCCTTGAGCTAGACCTGTTCCTTTCTTGGCTCGATGAATGACGTTGAGTTGATCCATGCTTTCCTGAAGAAGCTGACTGCCAGTTTATTGACTGTCTTGATGATGTGCCATTTTGTTTACCTCCAGCAGATTGTCCTTGTCCAGATTTTTTCCCTATAGATCCTGACTGCTCTCCAGATGCAGGGCCATATTCACCTACACTAGAAGACTCTGATGACCCAAAATTATTTCTCTTCTCTCTTGATGAATGCCTTGACCCTGAGTTCTGTGTCCCGGAAGTTGATGACTGTCCTATATCACATCCTGATGATTCTCTTGGTTTTATATCATGGTTTTCTTTACCATTGTCCTGATGTTGGCTAGAATCTTTTTTACTCTTGCTAGCCGACTGTCCTGAACCAGAGCCATGTAGAGGGTAGCCAGAAGATTCCTTTGAATTACATCTTCTGCCCTGGCTAGGCATGTGGGTTGTTTCTGATCCATGTTGTCCCTGTTCATATTTCTCACTGTTTTTGAAGTGACTTGAAGTTGTTCTTTCTTCAGAACCTTGTTGGTTCCCATTCCTTGGTTTTCTACAGTTTGACTCAGATTTGTGTTGATTTCTTCCTCTTGAGTCCCTAGAATAAGCAACATTCTCTCCTGCACTAAAACTTGAAGAACTTGAAGAGGCATCTTGCTCTTTGTCGTCGTTTTCTTCTTCACTCTGTTCCTTTTGTTGCTGGTGACTGTGATTTCTTTGCTTTGACCCTGAAGCTTGGCAGTAATCTCTGCCAATAATTTTGTTACAAGCCTGAGATAGCTTGACTATCATGAGAAGATACTCAGTAAAGTCCACTTTGTTGTTATGATCTCGATCCAGACTTTGCATGATGATTTCTACCGTGTCTGGATCATCTGGATTCTGTAATGAAATTCAATCAAATGGAGGCTTTGTAACTATAGATTGCAAAACAAGCTATCCCTTGTGAGGAGGCTGTCAATATTTAATAAATTAGATTGAAATTGACTGCGTAGTTCTTTTGACTATGACGAGGAGAGAGAGAGAGAGAGAGAGAGAGAGAGAGAGAGAGAGAGAGAGAGAGCCAGCACACTGTCAAGCAGTAAATTGACAAGAACTATTAGCCAGGAGGGGATACAATGGAAAGGTTGAAGCAAGCAAGTGGTCCAATCTTTTTTTTTTTTGTAAAGATAGTAGCTGATAACAGTGCTTTGGATGAAAGTATGGGAATATGATCCTGAGTTTGAAAACAGCGTGGGTAGCATGACAAGTTCCTGAGTTCCTTGGAATAGAAAGTAAAGCCTTTTCAAAAAAAAGGAAGGAAGAAACAAAGAAAGGAAGGAAGGAAGGATGGAAGAAAAGGGCAATAGGCAATAGTTAATCAAGGCTGTTTAGCTAAAGTAGAAATAGTAATTGTAGACACCTGCATGGATTATATATAATTTTTGTCCATTTAGTTAATTTGCTAGTTACAGATTTTAAAACAATTTTGTGGGGTATGTGTTACTGCTGTCTACATAGCTCTATATTATGAAGGGTCTAAAGCAGAGAATGATTTCAATGGTTATACTGTACATTATGATACATTCCCTGTATATCATCACTCTGTAGGTAAAGGCACTAACATCAGGAATTCAAGGCCATTTTCTTGAACTAAGAAAACAAATGTAAGAATATGAATTCCATCTATTTTGCACATTTTCTGTGGTTCATAAAAATTGCTCTCACAGACAAGAAATTTTTAAGTATATGAATTTGCCTGTGTTTGATAGGATCATTTTAACTTAATCATGTTATAGAAACATTATTAGTCAATGGTTTATGACATTAAAGTCTGCCAAATTTAGTTCTCTACTACCAAATAGGAGAGTCTTCTCTGGTATTTGACATATAAACAAAAGGTAGGATAAACTAGTAAATTTCTTCAGCATTTAGCACTGGTGTAGAGTTTTTACCTTTAGAATTTGGCGAAACTCATTTTCTAGAAGTTCTTTCATCTCTTTTGGGCTCAGCATGTCACATTTCCCATACTCAGTGGCGTATTGGTAGAAAACTTCGATGACAGTGACAATACCTTGCAGGAGTTTAGGCATCTTGTTGCAAATTCAAGTGAAGCTAGATTGGGAAAGAAGAGATTGATCTCTTAGTGCTTAAACACATAACTACTTCCAGTCATTTGTGATAATTATCAGCCATGATTAATTTTCTTTCTCTACTAGTTAAGAATGAATTCAAAGTCGAATAACTTGTTCCAGCTATGTAGCAAGAGAGTGATGAAATTAGAGCAGGTGCCCTATGTCTTATTTCAGTTCCTGAATGGATATAGGGGAGGCTTTCCTTGTTCGGTTATAAAAAACCTGAATGTGCTAATCCATACACGCCTTAGTTCTTTTTAGTTTTCAACTATCACAGTACAGGGGAAAAACATGTCACTTATATTCTGTGCCTAAATCTACCCAAAGAGCCCAGGTGGCTAACTTGAATTTTCAGTTTCCAGGATAAAGAAAGTAGAAAAAATGAGCAGAGCCAACCACAGGGTTAGGTGATAGGAGCTGAGGGAGCTCTTATCAGACAGCTTCTATTTTCATTCTTCAAGTAGGACTGTTTCTCAGGGCTTTCTGCTTATACAACAGAGAGAAAAAAGAGACAAGCTGCCAAGTGCTTCCTAGGCTCCTAAACTCTCAAGAAAAGATCTCAAGTAGGTACTATAAACAGAGTAGTTTTATATAAAAGTCCATCATAATACACTAAAAAGTAAGCTTTTGAATATAATGTGGACTTTAGGATTTAATAGACTATATAATATATAAGACTATATAATTAGACTATAGTATTTAATAGTATTTATCGTCAGTAGAACTGAATGGCTGTTCACTTACCTGAGTCACCAGCGGAACAGCAGGATGGAGACTGATGTTGCTTGCAGGGTGCTGCTCATTGGAAACACTGGCCTTTATATAGGGACAATGATGGTCCATCCTAGGGAGGAGCTGCTTCCTTTGAGATGTCCTAGTTCACTCCTAAACAAGTCCAGCTCCTTCTCCATCTCCACCTCCCAGGTGTTTATCTTCTTACTTTCTTACATGTGAACTGGAGATTGCAATAGTAGTTCCCAAATCTGGGCTAGTACCAGCCCCACCTGTCGAACTCTTTAGGACACTTTGCAGAAAGGCTATTTAAAAAAAAATTGTGTATGTGTGTGTGTGTGTGTGTGTGTGTGTGTGTGTGTGTACACCCAACTGTGTTATGTTGTATATAATGATGTATACTTTAATAAAAGTTGAATGGAATGACATGAGAATCCAAATGTAAAGTAATCATGGAATTTGATGTTCAGAAGAAACCTGAAATATTACATAGTCAGATGCACCCACTTTAAACTAGTCTAATGTAAGAGATTCCAGCCAAGGTGACATCTAGGATTTTATCAGCTCTTGGGAGCCAGTAGTAGCCTAGAGAAGCTCTTCTTTCCATCTCTTTGTCTAACATACACAACTATTTGTGAATGTAGTTTTCTTTTAAACTACCATATAAACACAGCAAGAAGAAACATGTTTTTTTAGGTTCCTCCTGATCGTGCCTGTGGCTTTTTTTTAAATCCCATTGTTTCTATACATATATATTTACTTTTATGTCCCTCTGGTGTTAATTACTTCAATATATATTATTATTTCATCTTTTTTTCACTTGGATTACCTTTTAGCAGTATCTCTCTAGTGAACTACTATTTTTCACAATTAACTTCGGGGTTAGCAGCATGCTCTATCACCCCCAGTATTTTTCATTGACTCTAGAGATCAAACTCTGGTCTTGTTGCTTTTGAGGCAAGTATGTTACTGACTGAACTATCTACCTATTCTGATCATATAGTTTTGTCAACCATAACATTTTATAATATTTCAAACCACTTTGTTATTATTAACATTATATAAAAAAAGAAGACACAAAAGTTGTGTGTGCGTGCTCACAAAGGTGTGTCTATTTGCTTGTGAGAAACTAAAGAGCAATGTCAGGCATCTTCTTTGATGACTTTCCATCTTTTGAGACAGGGTCTCACTGAAGTCAGCTATACTGTCTGGCCAGTGAGCTCTAGGGAATTTTGCCCTTCCCCCATGTTAGGATTACAGGCACCCCATGCCCATGCCTGGTCTTTTTTGTTGAGGAGGGCTTAGGTGCTGAATCTGAACTCAAATACTCATAATTGTATACTAATCATTTTATTGACCGAGCCATTAATTCGGTCTTCAAACTAGAAAGTTGAAAACACTGGTAAAGAAAGAAAAATCACCTTCCATCCTCTCTTCTTTCCCCAACTCCATGCTCCCAATTTTCTAGGAGATCTTTTCCCCTTCTGAGGGAGATCCATGCATTTTCTCTTAGGGTTCTTTTTGTTACCTAGCTTTTCTGGGGTCATCCTTTGCCTTACATCTAAAATCCACTTATGAGTGAGAACATACTGTGTTTGTCTTTCTGGGTCTGTGCTACCTCATGCTTTTTTTCTAGTTTCATCCACTTGCCTGCAAATTTCAAGATGTCATTTTTCTTTTTACCACTGAGTAGTATTCCATTGTGTAAATGCACCAAATTTTCTTTATCTATTCTTCGGTTCAGGATCATCTAGGTTGTTTCCAGTTTCTGTAGGAGGAGGAGAGGAGAAGGGGAGGTGGGAGGAGAACATGAGGGAATGGAATGGTCAAGATGGGGAAAGAACAGAGTGGGAGAGCAAGGAAAGAGATATCTTGATTGAGGGAGCCATTATGGGGCTATGGAGAAATCCAGCACTAGGGAAATTCCCCAGGCATCCACAAGGATGACCCCTAGCTAAGACCCTAAGTAATAGTGGAAAGGGTGACTGAACTGACCTTTTCCTGTAATGAGATTGGTAACTACCTTAATTGTCATCATAGAATCTTTATCTAGCAACTGATGGAAGAGATCCACAGTGAAGCCCTGGGATAAGTTCCCAAAGTCCAGTTGAAGAGAGGGATGACCAATAACATGAGCAAAGGAGTCAAGACCATGATCGGGATACCGACTCAAACAGTTTGCCTTAGGTAATGGGAGCTCACTGACTCTGGACTAACAGTGGGTCAACCAGCATAGGATCAAGCTAGGTCCTCTGAATGTAGGTGACAGTTGTATGGCCGGGGCAGTCTGTGAGGCCATTGGCAGTGGGATCAGGATTTATCCCTAGTTCTTGAACTGGCTTATTGGAGCTCATTCTCTTTGGAGGGATACCTTGCTCAGCCAAGATATAGTGGGGAGGGCCCTGGTCGTGCCTCAAAATGATGTGCTAGACTTTATTGACTCCCCATGGGAAACTTTACCTTCTCTGAGGTGTGGATAGGAGGATGGGGGCAAGATAGAGGGAACAGGTGGAGAATAGGGAGTGAGAACTAGGATTGGTATGTAAATGAGAAAAGAATGTTTTTTAATTAATTAATTAAAAAAGAAAAATCATAGTACCTATAAATGTACTAGAAAGAAATATCCATCACTAATTATTCAATTTGCAAGTAACTTGGTTAATTATTCCTGTACACACATATTTTCCTACGCCTTTTATAATTTCTAAACTATGACTCCTTCCAGAACAGGAACTGGACATTACTAATCCCTGTGTCAGCTAGAGATCTAGGCTATTGCTCGGTGTGTAAAGTCTTCCAATAAACACCACTTTGAGTTGAATTTAAAAAGTATCAGGGTATGTCTTCAGATTTCTACATAGGCCAACTAACCTTTTTTTTCAGAACCAGGATCTGTCTATTTTCTTGTTATATTCAGTGTAGAAGACATGATTTTACACAACTATCAGTTTAATCTTAGTGTTGAGAATTAACAAGCTAGTCTCTGCTTACGCTTGAGGCTCTTGTCCATTGAGAATGTTTATCCATTGAAAATGGGTAACATGAATTTCATTGAAGATATCCTAAGTTAAATGAATCTAAAACATGTGTAATATAGTCATCAAATGTCAGCAGAGGTCACAGCAATTATTGGCAAATGACAAATTATATGATTCCAAAGTCAACTATCATTAGCCTGTTTTTTTTCCCTAGAAACTACCCAGAGGGTGAAAAGTCAGTCTCTTCCACAGTTGTGCTTCCCTGGATACCTGATTTGGGTCAGGTCGTCATACTACATAAGCGCAATGACCTTCTTAAAGGTGTGACTGAGGCTGTGGGAGTGAAGAGAGGTGGAATTTGCTGAGTGAAGAGCTGTTATTCTAGAGGCAGGAAAGAGTTGAAGGGGACTGTTGCAGGCGAACATGCCTTTGAGGCCAGTGTTCTCCTAAACAAGATGTCAGCACATTTTCTATAATTGACTAGACAGCAAATATGATTGGATTTGTGGGTCAAATGATCTTTCTTGAAGCTATTCAATTTGGCTAGCCTATCATGAAAGTGGTTGTGAATAATGCATTTTAAAATTATTTTATTTTAAAATAGATGCTTTGTCTGCATGTGTGTCGTGTGTCTGGTGCCCATGGAGGCTAGATGAGGGTATAGGTTCCTCCAGAACTGAAGTTACAGGTAGTTGTGAGCTGCCATGTGGATGCTGGGGATCAAACCCTGGGTCCCCTGGCAGAGCAGCTGGTAAGTATTCTTAACCTCTGAGCCTTTTCTCCAGTCCCCGTAGATGATAGATATTTGTATAAAAGATTATGTTTGGATAAAATTAACTTTTGGACACTGATCTTAGAAATCTGTATGTCATATACTCTCTCAACCAGTTGTAAATGTAGAAAAACATATTTATGGCAGTGGCTCTCAATCTGTGGGTTGCAGTCCATTTGGGAGTTGGATGACCCTTTTCATAGGAGTTGCCCTAAGACCATCAGAAAACACAGGAGTTTACATCACAATTTGTACTAAAATTGCAGTTATGAAGTAGCATAGAAATTACTTTATGGTTGCGTGTAACTGGAGACAGTTCTTCCATCCCAGCTACCCAGACTTGAATAATCACACAAAACTCGTTTAATCACAACACTGCTGGGTCAATGTTTCAGATGTGTTTTTAGCTAACTTTTACACCTTAAATTAACCCATTTTTATTAATCTGTATATTACCATGAGGCTGTCACCTGCTG